GTTTATAAACCACAGCTTGCCACGTCTGACAGGTAGAAGGAGACGTAGGCCAACTTGGCGGCGCCATCCCATTTGTTGTGAGTACTCACTCGCTCGTACATTGAAATCCAGTCGTCAACGTCCTTGTCTTTTGTGCCTGAGAAAACAGGGGGATCTCGCAGACGCAGAGAACCGGCGCAGCAGACAGTAGGCAGTGCTGGTGGAGGAGTTGGAGCGGCGCTTGCGTTGGTAGGCATAATGGATGATAAAATGCGATTTCGAAGCTCCAGGATGATCGAAACCTAGCAGACTCCACCACTTGTAACGGGGTTTATTTGCAAAGCAGAACGCAGAAGGCGAAGCAGTCAGCAGCGTCCGGCCAAGCGCAGCAAGCACGAGCTTATGCTGATGGCGATGCCCCTGAGGCGCCGAAAAAATGCCGCTGAGGCAAAAAATGCAGCAATCTTTGAATATGAATTATTTAATTCTAAGCCCATGGGCTTTTCCACTCGTTGCTCTTAAGACAGCCAAGAAATGACGGGTTCAGAAACGAAGCATCATTAAACCACTATGGCAAGCTATCAATTATTTAGGTTGCATTATGAATAAACAGAATTAAGAGACCACTAAAGTCACTCACCAATACCCAAATCCAGCAGCTTTGAAAGAAAAGGAGAAAAGAAAGTCAGATGAGAACAGAAATAAGGTAGCACGTGGCACACTAAAGTTGGGGTCAACTTCGGAAGTCTGCAGCATTTCCTCCTCGATGAGAGTGCATTCCAGACTGATGTCAGGCACTGCAGGAAACATAAGCGTGCCTTTGCATAAAACAGTTTATTTTATAGACGACTTTAAGTGCCGCGATACCGGGCTGTTAACCTTCGTGCTTCGTATCTTTCACAACTAAGCGAAAGGTGTCATGGGAGCTGCATACAAATGAAAACTGCTGGGTTGGTGCCTCCGTTTCATAGCCTTATTGATTCAAGCCACGATATACAAAAAAAGAAAGCATTGGCTTAGCAGCCCAACATGGCGGCAGCCACATGTATCGCGGGAAATAGCCTATACAAGCAGGACCATTTTTCTTATCACAGAGGTGACTGGCTGCTGTGCTTCGAGAATCTGGTGTGGGATCTCCAGACTTCTCAGGTAGTACCCAGCTATTCGAGGTATGCACTTGTCCTCAGCGAAAAGCGCTATGGAAGGTCTGCACACTCGCCCTGTGTGCAAAAAGCTCCCTACACGCAGTGCATACGATATAGATGCAGCGACTTAGACGGCTAGAGAACTCCAGAACACCTCCTGCCTGTCGACCCACGAGCAGTGCATACAGACAAATTTACACAATGACACGGCAACTGTGAGATCTCTTAGCGGATAAAGGCTCAATACATGCCCTTTACAGTCTTGGTTTGAGCAGTTTTACTTTCTGCATCTAGCAATGGTATTTAAGCACGTGCTAGCACTTTGCACTCATGATGACAAACAGACACCTTTGCACCTTCAATGACAAACAGACAGAATAAATTACAACTCTTACATCAACATGAACACCTTAACTACATTCTGAAGTTTTACATGCCATAACAAAACAATCGTGGAGCTTGCTATCGTGTAGGCTAATTTTGGTTTTTACTGCCTCATTTTCTTTAACAAGCACTTACCTGTAATTACACAGGTGTTTTTATATTGAACATTCACAGAAATGCCATTGTCGTGGCCAGGAATCAAACTCAAGTCCTAAAATGCAGCGACACGTCACATTGCCTGACAGGCTATGACGGTGGGTGGTAGAGCAAGAAAGATGTCCGATACAAAATGAAGCATTTGAGAAGTTCGATTTCTGCGAGTGCCACACAAGGCCTTTAGAATTTCCGATAATTAAACACATTTCTTCACAGCTTGATGTATCCGAGATACCGCACACATTTATTTTATTTATTTATTTAAACATACTGCCAATCCCTCCCGGGATTCTCGCAGGAAGGGCGTAGACACAGTACATGGCAGAATTTTTCGCCCCGCCATGGTGGTCTAGTGGCTAAGGTATTCGGCTGCTGACCCGCAGGTCGCGGGATTGAACCCCGGCTGCGGCGGCTGCATTTCCGATGGAGGTGGAAATATTGTAAGCCCGTGTGCTCAGATTTGGGTGCACGTTAAAGAACCCCAGGTGGTCGAAATTTCCGGAGCACTCCACTACGGCGTCTCTCATAATCATATGGTGGTTTTGAGACGTTAAATCCCACATATCAATCAATCAATCAATGTCAAAGAATTTCAAGAAATGTGAGGTTGCAGAGTCGGTGGAGTGTAGTGCACATTATACATTCTTCATTGAATAAGTATGAACAAGGAACGCATACATTTTACAAAATTAATTTACCGTACAGGTTTTGATATTACAGGTTACAAAAAAAAAAACCTCTTCATTACAAATCTTTTCAAAAATTCATGATTTGGTGATAAGATTAAACACAAATGAGTTTATAACCACATCCACTCAGTGATAAGTTATAGTCACATCGTGTCAATTTTCTTTTCTACCAGCCTTAAGAACTCTGTTAAACTCGTGGTACCAGTTATTGAGTTGCCTCGAGAATTCCAATCCCTTATTGCTATTAGAAAGAAAGCGTACTTGAAACAGTCTACGTTGAACTTAGCCTTTGGGGATGTTTTAGTCTGGTTAGGCTTGTTCGATCAACGGATATATAATCTGAGGCCTCAAATTTTAGGCGACTGTAAATTAGTTCATACAGAAATTTTAGTCTGGCTATCTTGATTCTATTATCGAGGGTGAACAGGCCAGCTTGTTTTAGTAGCTCTGTCGGAGAGTCGCTAAGGCTTTTTCTTTTTGTTTTGCATGACATGCTTCATCTTTCAGACAGGTAGTCCTGACTTGAGCTAGCGTAAGGCCCTCCACACCGAAGTTTCATTGCTCAAATTTGAATTTTCATTTACGTAACCTCGACATACACGCTAGGTGCTACATTCAATGGCCACAATGAGCATAGAAGTATGCAAGATTTACTCACTCATCGGCATCACTTTCTGAGGAGTCTCTTCAAAACCTCGCCATTTTAATGCAACTTTTTCGCAATTCCCGTTCCTTTCTCCTACCCTCTAAATTTAAGAAAGAAACTGGTTAGTTCATGGGATTTGAAGTCCCAAAGCAACACGGGACATGAAAGACGACGTGGTGGAGGAGCCCGGATAACGTGCGCCGACATCGCTTAGAACATGCACGTCGTAATGAGTCTTTCAAACGGGATCGAACCTGCATCTTTCGGGCCAGTATCCGAGCACTGACACCACACCACGGTGGCTAGAAATGAAACCGAAGTCTGCAGTCGCAACACTCAACACGCTTTTAGATATTTTGTTTAGAATTACTGCATCGAGATATAATCCCTTTTGGTTTTTACAGGCAGCTAGGGGTTCTGTAAATACAGTGTGACCGTTCACACTCTTGCGAAAGCCTGCATAACGCTTAGTGCAAGACAAAAAAGGAAAAAAAAAAATGGCTCCAAACCTGCATGTTACACCGCAAATGTAGTCGAAAGACGATAGTCTTGCGTCTGGAGAGAGTGAACAAAATGTTTACTTGATGTTCTGCGCTTCTTGCACAGCGTTAGAGTGCCTCGAGCGTGTAGCGGAGGCGAATGGCCGCATCGAGGCACTTTAGACACACGCGCCATCTGGCAGTTATCTTCGAAAACGAAGGCGTGCAGCCCGCGGAGAAAGATGCGCGCCAGTTTCCGAGGTGATAAGGTGTAGAACGCAAAGCGACGGGCAGGTGCCACCACCGTGACGTCGAAGCAAAGCGTTGGAAACACCTTTTTGAGCATCGCGTTTCACTATCAGCGCAGCGCGATAAACGCTGCGCTGATTCCTTAGAGTTACTTGTGTGTGTCTCTTCAAGTATGAAGGCAGACATAGAAAACTTCGAAGTGTTGTTATGGCGCCTTAGATATGCGCAAGAAATGCTTTTTAACTGACAATCGCACAACCATGAACGCTAAACCTTGAGCAATATTGGTGGGCACTGCGAATGGGGTTGGACGTTTGGTGCCGTTTACGGTATCGTTAGGACGGACAAACAGACAAAAGTACAAATAGACAGACAGACCAAAACTTTTCCGTCGAAGGTCCACAAGAAAGATTAAAAAACAGCCCCTTCCCACTCACCCCGACCTAAAGTTATCCGAGGCCAAGGCGACAGCATTCGCGAAGAGAAACTTGTACGAAACTTCACTCGCAAACTCTACGCATCGCGAGAGGAAGTTTCAGAAAGAAAACGAACCGTTGGCAGACCAGGAGAGGGACGAAACCGTTCGAAGGCGCGACTTGTCCACATCGAAACGCAGGAACGGCTGCACCGACGAAGAGCACCACAGCTGAACGTCTTCACCGGCGGTGGCGAACATCTCGACGAAACTGCAAGAGCGGCGCTGTCTTGTCAAACCAAGTCGTTTCACTGCGCGCTGTCAGTTGCAAGATGAACTAGATGAACTACACTCGATTCGCGCGTTTTTGTTCGCAGCCGTTGCTGCCATGCACAAACATGTGCACAAACTGCGCGCGCCTACGCAAATGTATTCGTCCGCGGAAACATTTCGAGACTAGCTTTTATGTTCTCTAATTTGTAGCAAGCCTGTACAAAATAAGCAATACATTGCAGTATTTTTATTTTTTATTTGCTTTATTACACATGTGAGAAGGCTTGTATTAACCATAAAGATGTTTGCAACCTAAAACTCTTTCTTTACGCGCAAAAAGAGTAACAACGTTCAGTGTACTACTTTTTCAAGTTTAAATAAGTAAATATAAAATAAACTTAACAAAAGACGCATTTTTATTAGTTAAAAAAAGTTATGTTACAACATTGTTAAACAAAAAAAAACGTTTTAAATGAACAGTTCAAATAAGTAACTATGTTGTTGCTAGCGTCGCTTAGTGAGTGTTTAAAAAAACAGTCGTTGCGACAACGCTACCTTCTTTTTTTTCGCTCAGCAACGCCGCAAATGCGCAACTCGCGCCCGTTAGTTTTGGCGTCCAAACTGGCTTCGTTTCCCACAATGGAAATGTGTTGACATCGTCAGAGAGTCGAAAAATTTCGTAAGTTCCCCGTCAACGTATCCACGGTTTCGCGCAAATCGGAACCCCCAGAGGAGAACACAACGTGCTATCGTCGTTCACCCGGGAACGCAGCGCGCGCGAGTCATCGGCAGTGTTCCCGACCAAAGCCTCACCGTAAGTGGACGACGATTCTTTCTGTGGCGGCGCTGGGTCCGTTGTGTCCCCCTCCGGACCAAGCGCGCGCACCCAAGCAACCCCCCCTTCTTCGGCGTCGTTTCTTTGTCGTTGTCGTGCGCGGCCCGAAAAATCTTGTGCCCGTCTCGCAATTCGGGACGAAAACAAAGACGACGCCGAGCGCGTTCGCGATGTGTGGGTTCGGCCCGCGCGCGCCACAGAGCACTGCGACGCGCCAAATGGCCTCGACACGCAAGCCGCGGCATGCTAGCGCGGGCTACATCGCGCACGTTTCGGTTCTCGGTGCGTCCTCAGTGCACGTAACCAAAACAATCACCCGTTTCACTTCTAGTTTACAGTCCTCGCATAAAATGTGACCACCTTCTCTTCTCTATATCGAAGTTATCTCGCTGACGCAGCTTGCCTGCGTGGTTTGCGAGCTGCGGTTGGCTGCCGTGAAGTTCGATCTTCGACGCGGCAGTAAATCGCGACGCACATTAGCACAGAACTCTATCGGATTTTTTTTTCTCGCGTAATATAAGCCCCTTGTGACCAGGGGCTTAGATGTGGTCAAAGCTTTCGTTACGTAGATAATCCAGCTCTCCGTGCACGACTTCGCATGCTAGGCAGACCGAGATTTTCGAGAAAACGCGGCTAATAGCACTCTTGCGATGAACGCGCTCAAAGGCCGTGTGCAGGAGACGCGGGAACCGATGCATTGCCTCCTTGTTAATCTGTCTTCCGTCGTATTTGGTGTTATGTAAGTCGCCATGTCCTTGTGTAATGCGCGTTTGTTCGTCTAGCAAGCCTGAATTTGCAGTCACCGGGCTGACGTTGGCGTCGTATCTTCCCACGTAGAACCTGAGTCATGGCAGGCGGTGGAGGCACGGATGGGGCAGAGCCCACAACTCCCACGGCACCTGTTTTCACGACCGAGGTGAGTGTGCCTTCTTCTAGGCTGCCAGTGTCAATCCATCTTACATGCCAAACTAATGGCACTCCTTGTTTCGTTCTCTCCTGAGCAGCTGGACAGCCCGGCCATGTTCGACGACCCGAACCTTCCCGAGGGCTGGCACCGCAAGGTTTGTCAACGGCAGAGTGGGCGCTCGGCGGGCAAGTTTGATGTCTACATATACAAGTGAGTCGTGGAAGCAGTACCTTTCGCTGCAAAAAAAACCAGATTTCGATATTGCTCGGTTGGCCGAGGTTGGATGCTCAGACCTGCACAAGCCTTGAACGCAGTGATGGAAGTGCTGCTCCAAAGTGCAATGTTTGCAAGTAACTGCTCCAAACCTGCTCTGAAATGGCATTGTCAAACTAAAGAGAATGAAGTTGAACCATGAGAACCATCCCGTGAGCCTAAGCGAAACCAAAAGCAAGCTGTATGCTATCATCCTAGTATGCTACTCAGTGGCGTAAATGCAGAAAAATCGCAAGGGGTGACACCTATTAGGCCATGCTGACCAATTCGTATTTTTAATGTGGGTTGTATTTTTATTTATATAAGAACTAAGTCATGCTTTCAAATAGAATTTAAAACGAAATGAGCATCAGGTCCGAGCTCCAGCAATTGCACTGTTCCATGCAGTCTATTTTTATTCACCTTTTTGGGATTTGGGACAGCTCAGGGGAGTTTAACCCAGCTATGCAGTAACAGATAAAAAGTCTTTTGAAATGTTGATTGCGCTATACTTAACTGTTAACTCAATTATATCATGTGCTAAATCTCAATGGGGACACTTGCAAGGGCTGTCCTCCCCAGCCAGACACAAGGAAAGTCTGGACTTCCTTCACCCCCCGCTTCCATGATTTATGCCAATGATGCTACAATACCGCTTGTATACTAGCTGCATACTAGCATATGGCAGATGTAATCATAAATATAAATATTTATTAGATGCTTAAGTGATGTTTTAAACTTCAGGAGTCATTAAAAACATGCATGTGCTCTGAATACACCAATAGAAGTCCTTAGCTATAGCATTCTTTTCTGCTCCGAAGACAGTTAAGGCTGCTCCAAAGTAGCATTTTTTTATGCTCCTTCATCTGCTCCAAAAAGCAAAATGTTGCTTCCGTCACTGTGAACAATTCCGTCACATTGGCTCACGGCATCCAGTCATCATTGCCGCTTCTTAACTGCGGCATAGTAGTTGAAAAATAAGAGGAACAGAGAACTTCGACCCATGAATACCTTGATTTGAGTGAGTTGGTCCATCGTTAGAGGACACCTGAAAAATGCTAACAAAGATTTAACATTGTGTCCTGTTGTATGCGTTTCATCTTCGTCATTCACAGTTTTCATTTGTCTTCTAGCATCTCTTATCATATGCATATTCATAATGCTGATGGTACTAACTAGTAAGCAGCCAATGTTATGTTAGCCATGCAAATAGTGCGGGAGCACTAAACACATATTGCAGTGCAGTTCTTGATGTGTAGTCCTTCTTTGTTGTATATGTATTACTATTTAGCTTACTTTTTATTTATTTATAAATACTGCAATCCCTGATAGGGATTTTAGCAGGTGGGTTACAGTGCATAAAAAGGATACATGGTTTACAACAAACCTTACGTAACTTACGTAACTACAAATTGTTAACCTTAATGTTTCCTCTAGTGACATTATGTGCATCTGCATTCTCATAGTATGCAACACAATGCATTTTCATTGTCTGGTGGTCATTGATTAGAGATTGATTAATATGTGGCATTTAACGTCCCAAAACCATCATATGATTGTGAGAGATGCCGTAGTGGAAAGCTTCGGAAATTTTGACCACCTGGGGCTTTTTAACATGCACCCAAATCTGAGCACACCATCGATTAGGGAAACATGCCACTTTCGTCGTTTGGTACCTTTGAAACTCAGTTTAACTAAATGATTGAGGCAATCATTTCGTTAAATTGAGTTCCACTTTTAATTGTTTTAATTGGGAAGTTTATAAAAGCGAGAAGTGAATTTTTGGGACTTTCAAAACCCAAGACTGTAATGCAGTGTTGCCCGAAACTGACCAGGGCTCTTAATTTGCCACCAGTACACGCCTACGCATGTGAAAATTCCGTGAAGGCAAGCCAAGTGAAAATTCCTTGCAACATACATTTTAAAAGCAGCTGTTTGTAAAAATTGGGGAGGGGGATCACTTCATTCTTAATAATTTGTGGGAAAACTCTGCTAAATTGAGTTCAGGGCCATGAAAGCTTCGTCAATTTGAATAGGTATAATGAGCCTTATGGAGACCTGCCGGGGAACGGAAGTTTCTTCGTGACATCTGGGAATTCATTAAATCTGATTTTGTGAGGGCAAGCTTTAAGGGCATTTGATAGCTTCCTCTTTAGCACAGCATATCTATGAGAATACGAACTCTACAAGTTCGAAGCAGGCAGAAGCAGCATAACTTGCTAGAAGTCTGCTTGCTTAAGCTGGCATGAAACCAGGCGGCAGGCCCAATTGATCTTGAACTAATTTCTTCACCAAGACAAAACCTACGATTTCTCACTGCACCAAAAGCCGCGATGTGGCTGCACTAGCATCTAAACATCTGGTCGCATATTCTGGTTGGCAGCCAAAGTAGCTCCAATGATTCTGATCGACGTAATTGGAAAATTACCTCGTTCTGCTCGACAAAACCTACAGGCTCTATGAGGAAACATTCCTCTTGTCCCCCTCGGTGGAATAGTGGCTACAATTCTCGGCTGTTGACCCGAAGGTCGCAGGTTCGACCTCAGCCGTTGGCGTCACACTTCGGTGGAGGCGAATTTGTAGAGGCCTGTGTACTGCCGGATGTTAATGAACACCAGAAGGTCGAAATTTCTGGAGCGCTCCACTATGGCGTTCCTCCTAATCGTGTCATGGTTTTGGGTCATAAAACTATAATAATAATAATTATTGTTATTATTATTATTATTACTATTATATTAAACATTCCTCAAGAGTCTGATTTTGGACTAAATGTGCCAAACAGGTGAGAATTAGCAGCTGTAGCAGCGGTACATTAGTGTGACCCAACATATCTGGCTTTTGCACACAGTTAGGTTATCCCACTAGCATTTGTGTGTGCGCTTACTTAGCATCTGCCTCGGCATCTTGAGAAGGTCAAAATTATTTCTGATTCGTGTTCTGCACGTGTAACTAAAATTCAGCCCGAAACGTGACGCCCATAACAAATGCATGAAGGAGGGAATCCACTGTGTCACTCTCCTGCTTATTCCCTCACGTGGAAAAAGCCTGAACGTGTGTAATATTTTTCTCAAAATAAAGATGATCCTCTAGCCAACTTTAGTTTTGGATTTTGAAAACTGTCTCTGCGTTTCGAGAACAGTTTGTTCCCTTCTTCAAAAGGCGACTGTCCGGCTGGCTTCGAAGCTCGCGCATTTTAGTTGCTCTCTCCCTCTTCACCATCATTCTCCCTGCTGCTATTGTTAATCCATTGTGTTCTCCATTGGTTTTGAAAACCATATACCTGCATGCTTGGCAGGGTCCCTATTAAGCTGTTAACACTTTCCGCTATCGATGACCGAAAGCGACTGGAAGTGTAGTGCCAGTTTTTAAATATTAAAAACTAAGTTTGGTTGAAGAGTCTTTCAATACTTATAAAATTACCCAGCCTGACAGATCCCCGTTAAGTATGTTTACCTTTAAATATATCTCGCACCTGAAAGGGAAGGAGGATCTTTCTGCAAATAAATGAAGTTTGTTCATCATCTAGCACGATGCCTTTAAACTGGATAGTGCACATGTGTGCTTCGTTTTGATGCAATGTATTCAGTCCTGCGTTGATTTATTGAAGCAAGTCTTTTTAAGGTTTGTTTTATAACCTCCCATTCCTATAGTCTAGCGTGGGTATTCGTGTCATTGTGAGCAGCAGGTGACTACATCTCTTGTTGTTGCACGCCCCGCCACGGTAGTCTAGTGGCTAAGGTACTCGGCTGCTGACTCGCAGGGCGCGGGATCGAATCCCGGCTGCGGCATTTTCGATAGAGGCAAAAATGCTGTAGGCCCGTGTGCTCAGACTTGGGTGCAGGTTAAAGAACTCCAGGTGGTCCAAATTTCCGGAGTCTTCCATTACGGCGTCTCTCATAATCATATGGTTGTTTTGGGACGTTAAACTCCACATATCGATCTTGTTGTTGCACATGTCTGAAGCCGTTAATGAACTTATACTATCCTCACGCTGGCACAAACAACATAAATGGCTTGGTTGCTGTTGGAACATTTTTGATTGTATGAAAGCTGAATGTCTATTCCAGCAGAGATGCGATCTAGCTACTCAATTGGCCATTGAATGTGTACTGTTATTCCCATTACCTACAGCCATAGCGATACAAGAACATAGAACTCTGTCAGTGCTGTGGCTGATGATGATCAAGAGCGGGTGCACGTTAAAGAACCCCAGGTGGTCTAAATTTCCGGAGCCCTCCACTATGGCGTCTCTCATAATCATATAGTGGTTTTGGGACGTTAAACCCCACATATCAATCAATGATGATCAAGAGCACTTTGTAATGGGTTCGAAGCTTTAAAGGGGCCCTGCAGCACTTTCTTCAAGTAGCTATGGAATAGATTCACTGAAGGAGCTTATTGCCTAACAAATTCACCGCCACAAAAATTTTTAGAACCCATCCAATGCGAGCGGAGTCGCAAAGATTTGTCGCACAGCGCAATTGCATTCTATCTGCTCTCGTCCCTATGAAAGCGATGGAAACTAAGCAAGTAGAGACGGCACGGGGAAAGAAAATATGTCACATGCTCCTCGTGACCTTCAACACTTTTTTTTTTCTGCATTGAATATATAGCACTGCACGCACGTGTGATAGCATGCGCATGCATGGACCAATAGCGACCTCTCGCCACAGCCTCTGTAACGACCGAGTGCGCCATGCTCAAATCAGCCAATGGCTGGTGCAGTGGCTGTGATGAGTGATTTTTGAGCTTGCCGCATTATTTGTCGTGGAAAGAGAAAGAAATTTTTGCTGACTTGGAAAATTTATTGTAAATTCCAGGCCATGTGCTGTGCCATAATATTAGGCTTGCGTGTTCTCAGTTGCCTCGACTACCAATCGGCACCATTTTCTGACCATGCTCAGTGTTGCAGGGCCCCTAACTACCCGCCCTTTACGCCATTCGCACTGTGTGATGCC